GGGCAAATAAAAGTGGGGAGAGCGAGCAGCCCCGTTGAATACTTTATTTGACAGTATGTTGAAACTTGCAGTTTAATCACCTCCAACACTTCCTGGAAACTCTATAGCATTGCAGCTGCTTCAACACCCCAGTCTGACAGCAGACAAAATCCTTGCTATATATCATGCTAGACTTGGTGTTCTAAAGTTGGGTAATAAAAGAAAAAGCTGATTGAGGCTCTCACGTTTCTCCCATTCTGCCTAACAGGAGTGTTAACCTCCCATATTCTTTCCAAAGCAAAAACACTTTTTACTGTATTTCTAATTTAAAATGAGGATTGAATTATGGTACCTGCCATTCCTGATATACTGAAGGTGGATCTCACTTGAGAAAGGACTTTCTACTCTGAAACATTGTGATTCCTAGCGTCCTCTGATCGTATGTGTCTGTAGGTCAGCTGAAGGTTTTTCAGGTATCTATCCATATGTATAAAGGTTTGTTTGCTATACCTTTTTAGCCTGGTCCCTTCAAGTGAAAATGTACAGTATCTTAAAAGTATTCATACCCCTTGAAATTTTCCACATTTTTGTCATGTTACAACCAAAAATGTAAATGTATTTTATTGGGGTTTTATGTGATAGACCAACAAAAGTGGTGCATAATTGTGAAGTGGAAGGAAAATGATAAATGGTTTTCAGATTTTTTTACAAATATGTGAAAAGTGTGGCAGGCATTTGTATTCAGCCCCCCCGAGTCAATGCTTTGTAGAACCACCTTTTGCTGCAATTACAGCTGCTTGTCTTTTTGGGTATGTCTCTACCAGCTTTGCACATCTAGAAATGTTTGCCCATTCTTCTTTGCAAAATAGCTCAAGCTCTGTCAGATTGGATGGAGAGCATCTGTGAACAGCAATTTTCAAGTCTTGCCACAGATTCTCAATTGAATTTGGGTCTGGACTTTGACTGGGCCATTCTAACACATGAATATGCTTAGATCTAAACCATTTCATTGTAGCTCTGGCTGTATGAACTTCCTCCCCAGTCTCAAGTCTTTTGCAGACTCTAACAGGTTTTCTTCTAAGATTGCCCTGTATTTGGCTCCATCCATCTTCCTATCAACTCTAACCAGCTTCACTTTCCCTGCTGAAGAAAAGCTTCTCCATAACATGATGATGCCACCAGCATGTTTCACAGTGGGGATGGTGTGTTCAGGGTGATGTGCAGTGTTCGTTTTCCGCCACACATAGTGTTTTGCTTTTAGGCCAATAAGTTCAATTTTGGTCTCATCTGACCAGAGCACCTTCTTCCACATGTTTGCTGTGATTCCCACATGACATCTCGCAAATGGGACTTCTTACGGCTTTCTTTTAACAATGGCTTTCTTGTAACCCTTCCATAAAGGCCAGATTTGTGGAGTGCACAACTAATAGTTGTCCTGTGGACAGATTCCCCCACCTGAGCTGTGGATCTCTGCAGCTCCTCCAGAGTTACCATGGGCCTCTTGGCTGCTTCTTTGATTAATGCTTTCCTTGCCCGGCCTGTCAGTTTAGGTGGACAGCCATGTCTAGGTAAGTTTGCAGTTGTGCCATACTCTTTTTCTTTTTCGGTTACTGGATTAAACGGTACTCCATGAGAAGTTCAAGGCTTGGGATATTTTATTCTAATCTAACCCTGCTTTAATCTCTTCCCGTTCAGCGCATGCCGATAAATGGCCGGACGGGAGCGCTGCTGATGTGGGGGGGGGGGGGGTTTCTAAATGTCCCTCCGCATCCATTGCCTGCGTGCACTCCCTGGGAGTGCACAGCGACATGATCTGTGCCCGCTGTGTCCACAGCAGAACGCAGATCGCTGTACGGGACCTCTGTGTGATGTCCCGATTCATGTGATCACTGATTGGCCAATCCGTAATCACATGAATGGTAAACAAGATGTCACTTCCTGACGACATTGTTTACTACTTGTGAAATCTGTGAATGATCACATAGCACAAGGCACAGCCTTGTACCATGTGACAAGCTGTGATCAATCACAGCTCACAGTATTTCTCAATGGCTGCAGGAATGCAGCCAGAGAGAGAAATGATTGCTTTTACAGCCTTTATGGGTGAAAAAGCAATCCGTTTAAAATAAAAAAAACAAAAAAAACAACTTCATCACCCCCACAAGTAAGTACAGTGTCACTATAGTGACACTGTACTGCTAGGGTGACAGTATATAAAAAAATAATACAATTAAAATGTAAAAATAAATGTTTGAAATTTCTTTTTTTAATAAACTAATTTTTTTTTTTTTTAAATTCAAAAAGATAGCTGAATACATTTTGGCCAAGAGTTATGAAGAAAGATTATTTGCAAAATTTTTATAAGAAAACTTTTTTTTTTTTTTTTTTTTTTAATTTTTGGTCTTTTTCATTTATATACCAAAACAATGAAAATCCCAGTGGGGAATAAATACCACCAAAAGAAAGTTTTATCTGTCTCTAAAAAAAATGCTAAAAATGTCATATGGGTACAGTGTTGCATGACCGTGCAATTGGCATTCAAATTGTAATAGCGCTGAAAGCTGAAAATTGGCCTGGACTGGAATGGGGTGAAAGTGTCCGGACTTGAAGTGGGTAAACTTCTTTACAACTTTATCTCAAACCTGTCTGGTGTGTTCCTTTACCTTCATGATGCTGTTTGTTTACCAATGTTCTCCAACAAACCTCCTGAGGGCTTCACAGTACAGCTGTATTTATAATGAGAATAAATTACACACAGGTGGACACAGTGCGTGGCCTTGATGGCGACAGAGTGGAGCTTTTTGTTTGGAGGCACCGCATTTTCAGAACCGAACTGGGCGAGAGGAGGTACCCACCAAAATCTCCGTGCAGCATTTGGCCGTGCCTACCTACTGGCCCAAACCCACCACAGGTCTCAGAGCCAGGAACAGTGCTGTGCCATAGCTCTTTTTAGGATTTGCCACATCTGGATTGATTGCTGACCGATGTAGGGGAGATCCATCTTCAGTAATGCCCATATAGAGCCCAGTCGCAGTGGATGTTATTTGGCCATATATCTACTTCCTGCAGTGGAAAGGTTACATCTCTTGGAGGGATTTCTGTACAGAGCATGTTTATTTCTTGTTTCTGGTGAGTGCATAGTGGTGGAGGATTGTCACAGATGTACCCTTCACAGATGTCACCTTCACTTTGTTGATCGCCATTGATTCACACATTATTGTTGAATCACTTTATTATTCATGTTATATCATTATTGGATATTCGTTCACATATTTGTATTTTTCACATAGATCGTAACGTAGCTCTGCACCTTTTGTATATATGTTTCATAAATATATGAAATTTCAATAAGCTAGTTGTTTAACCATTAGCCGCCCGGCCAATGGCCGTTTGGCGGCTTCAAATGTGTCCCTGCATTCCGGGTGCACGCCATTTCCCGCACATGTGCCGTTTGCGCTAATGCAGAGCGGCGCAGCAGTGCGATCTGTCACCGGCCGTGCACCTCGGACACGGCCGATGACAGATCCGAGTACCGGCTCCCGTTGCTGGTACCATGTGACCTGCTGTGACCAATCACAGCAGGTCACATGACAGTTGTATACAATGGATGGCTTCATTCATGATGCCATCCATTGTATACTAGTGCCTAGCTGTGAATGGTCACAGCTAATCACATGCACATGTCATGTGATTAGCTGTGACCAAATCACAGCTAAGCACAAAAAAAAAAAAAAAAAAAAAAAAAAGCTGAATGAATCGATTTCATTCAGGTAAATGCTTGCTTATAGCAAAGTAATTCTTTGCTATAAGCAAATTGTGCAAAAAAAAATACTGATCACTTCCCCAAAGTAGTACAATGTTACTATGGTAACATTGTACTACTTTGGTCATAGTAAAATATGAAAAAAAAATCTTAAAAAAAAAAAAAAAATGTAATAAAAAATTAAATATAATAATAAAAAAAAAAATTAATAAAAATATATATATATTTTTGTCATACTGTCACCAGTCAGTGTCCCTTTTCACCGCCATGCCAGTTATATGAAGATGCTGTACTGCACTGGTGACAGTATGTAAAAAAAAAAAAATAGTGAAAATAATTTTTTTAATTTTTTCATTTTCCGAAAAATTATGGCAAAAAATACAACTTCAAAAAACTCGCCATGCCTCTTATGAAGTACGTCGGACTGCCTACTCTGCAAAAAGGGGTCTTTTGGGGATATCTGTACTATTCTGACATTCTTGGACCTCAAGAAATTAGATTGGCCGTCAGTACTTCAGGATTGATCAATTTTCAGATCTATACCATAAATTGTGAACTCTATAACTTTCCTACAAACTAAAAAATACATCCTAATTTGGGTTATTTTCACCAAAGACATGTAGCAGAATACATCTCGGCCTAAATTTATGAAGTAACTTTTATAACAATTATTTATTTGTAAAAATGTTTGGTCTTTTTTTGTTATAACAAAATAAAAACACCCCGCAGTGATTAAATACCACCAAAAGAAAGCTCTAGTTGTGTGAAGAAAATGAGAAAATTTTAGTTTGGGTACAGTGTTGTATGACCGCGCAATTTTCATTCAAAGTGTACAGAATACACTGATCAGTGCTGCTAGTTTACAGTAATCAGTAGATTGACTTCTGTACAACCACCCTACCCATACATGGATTGAAATACCTGGAATGGCTAAATTTTGATTCATGTATGGCTAGCTTTAGACTTTAGGAATGCGGGAAACTAAGTTTTTTTATTGTCTCATTGGAAAATAGACACACACAACTGGGACATTTACAGCTGCACTGGCTGTATTATAGCAGTCTATTATAGCAGTCTTCATCCTTGATCTTTCAGTCTGGATAGCATTGGTTTACAGTAAATTCCAAGCAATTGGCAATAAATTCCTCTTGTGAATATTGATACCTGTGCCTGAGCAGAACTTGTTTACCTAACTTGAACAGCATTATTAGATATGGGTTACTTGAATACCCTTCAATACTTCAGTTCTTTATTTTAGGACAAGAACCTGAGAAAGGAGGAGAAGCAGAAGCAGCCCAGATTGTAGTTGATGTGACAAAACAATTGGAGAAACAATCATTGGAAAATAAAGATGAAGAGGAAGAAGGTGAGTGCATCTTGTATTATCTAAATGTCTAACTGTTGAAGGGATTGACATTTAGCAGTCTGACACCCTAGTGGTTTCTAATTTTGTACTAAATCAATCTGCACATCTTGGATGTATTTCCAGCAGTGCCTTTCAACAAACCACAAAGTACCACAAACTAGTTCTTGAGCATTTAAATTTCAGCTATTTGGTATGCATAACAAAACTATATGTATACAGTGCAATTAGGACTATAGATCTAAACTGACTATCTGTCTGACTGTAGTGACACATGACCCATGAAAAAATCTGCTTGTCCTCATCTTTTTTTTTTTTAAGTTTAATAAGTTTGGCCTAAATTTATACCGTTCTACCTTCTGTGTTAAGATGGTGATGGTAAAGGAGACGGAGCAGCAGCAGGGAAGAAGAAGAAAAAGAAGAAGAAAAAAGGGGGTAAGCTTGTCTTAAAGGAGATTTAAAAAACAATCTCCAAAATCTTTTCTAAACTTTAAAGTCTGTTCCTATACATGTCTTGCCTAATTAAAGGGAGCTGGTGCTTTAAAATGGGGTGAGATACCCGAGCCTAGTAGGGATTCCTGATCATGTGGCATTGATTGACTGCACATTGCTAGTGTCATCAGGAGCCCATCCTACTGGCTCCTGATTCTCCGTGGATGACTGTAAGCCGTCCGTGATCAGTCGCAGTTCTGGGGGCTCCAATGGAGCAGAATAAGACACATATATGCAGTGGCTGTGCAGTAAGGCCCAACCTCACTGTTGCTACATATATGCGTATTTCTGTCTATTAGTGCTGCTATTACATCATTTTAAACTGCTGGTGGATGTACAGTATATATCATAATAGGATGCGCAGTATATATAATAAGATGCACAATAGATATAAAATCAGCTTGCTGAGGATTTACACTAGTTTTTAAAAATGTTTTAAATTAAAGATGTAAAAAGGTGAAAAGAAGTATTTTTATTAAAAAAAAAAAAAAAAAAAGGGGGGGGGCCCATGGCAATTATATGAAATGCATAGCAGACCTTACCAAGTCATATCTGTGCTTCCAGACTGCTCATTGGCAGTGACTCCACATATCCGCTCTTTCTAATAAACTGGGAGGTTATCAAAATTAATAATTTTTGTGAACTGTGGTGTACAAGAGTGGATTTACAGAGCTCCTTTGGCAAGTACAATCATACACACATGAATTTTTTTATAGTTCCATTTTAAATAGAATAATCTCTTAGATTTAATGGCTTGTTTTTAAAGAAATGTCAAATAGCTTTTCCAGCTTCTTGACAGGAAAGAATGATGTGATATATGTTAGAATGATATGAATGATTTGGAAAAATGTAGGCAAATTCATTCGATGGGTCTCAATATAAACCACAGAAAAGATTTGCTATCTTTTAGGAAAGTCTTTTTTTCCATTTTTCCTCTAGTAGTAATAATATAAAAAAAAAAGGTACCAGAAAAATGCCTATGCAGATATGGGATGTCTGGCTGTGCAGCTTTGACCAAAATTGAATAATGCCCTTGCGATAGGTGTAGGCCATTTACATACCTCCATGAAATGTGAACTAAAAACTCCCATGACGTTGCTGGGATATTGTTAACCGAGGCCCAGCTATTGCTATTCACTTTCACCATCACGGGAGTGAAGATTTTCTTTGATTCACACCTCGTCACATGCACTCTCTCTCCCCTGATACAGTAGCTCTCAGTGTTTGAGAGCTCATTTCTGTGATGGTGAAGGGAAGCAGTAATAGCTGGGCCTCACTTGGCAATTTTCTGGAAGTTTTCAGGTCAGGCTTCATGAGGTACATAAATGGCCTACACCTATAGCAAAGGCACTATTCAAAGCTGCAGTTTGCCTCTTATCTGCATAGGCAGTTTTTTGGGAAAGGTGAACCTTTTTAAGGTGGCCTCAATTTGTTGGAAACATTTTACAAAATAGGAAATATTTATATGATGGCCTAAACTACTAAGGTACCTGCTTGCCTTCATCCAGTTGTTTTCATCTCTGTGCCAACATAAGAGAAGAGTGACTGAATAAGAGCAGATTTATTGGTAGGGAGAATAGGTGTATGTTTTTTTTTTTTTTAATATGAAAAAAAAGTACTATTAAAGCTAAACTCCAAGCAGGAGTAAAATAATTTAATTAGCAAGGTACTTGCTTACCTTCTGTAAAAACCCTCCTCCATTTTTTTTTTTTTTTTTTTTTTTTTTTGCAGTTTGTTTTTCCAGTGTTTTAATCACCCCAAACAGGTCTCATATGCCACCATATTTATAGTAACTTCTGATTTGTGCAACTGGGCATCTATCTTCTCCCTAGGAAGAAGTAGCTCCAGGTCACGTTTCCTCCTCAGTGGTATTTTTAAGGAGAACGGTGGCATGCCGTTGCTACTTCTGTGGGCTGCCACAATCTGCATAGCACCTAGTGGCGACCTTTCTACAGTTGATTGGCCCATGTACCAGTATATTCTCATTGTATTATGAGAAATGTAGTCCTTAACAGATTGGATGTGATGTGGGGTTCTGCAGAGATCCTCCCTTCAGTGCCTGGGCGCAGTGTATTTTACAAAAGGAGCGATGATGGCACAATAAAGAAAATCCTTTATTTTAAAAGTAAGCTATTATTAGCAGTTTTACTGCTCGTGGAGAAAAGGGTCTATGAGCATAATGTCATTATCCTGGAGTTCAAATTTATTTACATGGTTTCATGAATGTGTTCTGTACAAAATCTTGATTTTCTTGCAGCCAAATCTCAGACAGATCCACCTTCTATTCCTATTTGTGAACTGTATCCAAGTGGTGTTTTCCCAAAAGGACAGGAGTGCGAGTATCCAGCAACACAAGATGGGTATGTATATGAGAGCACTGAAGATTATGGCTTTTTATACACATTGTACTTTAAAGGATAAGTTCACCTTTTTACTAAAAATAATAACCATTTCCTCCTATCACCTTCCAGGATGGCACACCTGAGAGATGATGGGCTTCTCCCTACAAGAAACACAATCAATTAACTGTTAGTCCCCTCCCTTCCCCTTGCCCTCCAGTATTGATTGTGTTTCTCCCTACATCGGAACGTTTTTTGTTTTCTGTGACCAGAAGACTGGGGGCGGTAGGTTGCTACCCCTGTTAGGCAGGCATAGGGAGGCCGGGGGGACTGAACTAACCTGCAGGCTTGTTCCTTCTCACAGGTTGCCCCCACTTGGCACCATTGTTCCAGTCACAGGAAAGTGTGAACCACAAAAATGCCACCCAGCTGCTGTCTCCCCCCCCCATGGTCTTCAGTACCCATCGGCTTGCAATGGCTCTCCAAGCCCCCCTCTGGCTCCACAGGATCTTCCAGCTGTGTGACCGGAAGTAGGCGGAACCAGGTACATGGCGCAGACCGCAAGAGGGCTGAGAGATGCCGGGGAGTGAGGACGACAGCAGGGCGGCTGAGAGCGGTCAGCTGACATTACAGGATGGCACACCTGGCTTTTACAGTGGAGACAGAGCCGAACCAGCTTATGGAGAAAGAGGAAGGGATGGCAGCACTTGTGACTGCGGGCAAGTCCAAGTCGGGTCTTGGTGAGTGCTAAGAGGAGAGGGGGGGCCCAGATGGACCATGGCGGGTCAGCCTGGTCCCCCCGCCCCCCAATATGCTAAAACCTGGCAGCCGGAGAGGGATAGAAAGACTAGCAATTGGTGTTCCTCTGCTCTCTTTCAGAATCCCTCAGCGGAACCCAGGAGGCCCCTGATAGACTGCCCTCCTGTACTCGCAGGCTCTAGCTTTTCCAGGAAATGTGGTTATTGTGAGGATAAGCTAGCTAGGTCCCATCTTAAACCATTTTGCTATACATGCATTAACAAGCTGGCAGGGAAAGAGGCTTCAGGCTTGATGAAAGATTTCTTAGCATCTATGCAAGTGGAGATGGTAGTGACCATCCAGTCTTTTTGAACCTCAGTGGCACAGCTGCAGGGTAACCCCTAAGGAAAGCCCGTCTTCACAGGAAAGCCTTAATTCTAGAGGGGGCCCCAGTTTATTCCTCCCATCTTCCCAGATACTTTCTCCAGCCCAAGCCAGGTATGAGGTGAGTAAGGGAGAGCTGATTAGTCTGCCTAAATCAGACCACTGCTCAGGGGAGGAGGTGGACCTAGATCTGGGTAATGAGGCACGTGAGGTTAAGCCTGGCAGGCACCTCTTTCCACTGGAAGACCTGGAGGGACTCCTTCAGGCAGTTTACGCCACCAAAGAAATCCCAGAATCCCCCAGAGAGACCTCAGCGCAAGACAAAATGTATAGGGGACTAGTAAAGGCCCATGCTAGGGTGCTCCCCTTCCATCAATCCTTAAAGGATTTAACCCTACAGGACTAGAAGGATCCTGAAAGGAGAATGGTCAGACCTAAGACTTGGAAATTAAGGCTCCTCTTTAAAGAGGAGGAGGAAGATAGATTCTTCAAGCTTCTCAGGTTGGATGCTGTGATGTCTCAAGTTACCAAGAGGTCTGATCTCTCCTTCGAGGATTCAGGGAGCATTAAGAATTTGATGGACCAAAGGTCTGAATCCCTCCTAAGGGAAGGCATTGGATGCTAACACATCTGCCATGGCCTCAGCTCTAGTTGCAATCTTTATTGCCAGAAATGCAGACTTTTGGAATGAAAGATTGGCCTTCAGGCTCCCCAAGGAAGGTCTTGAGGGTGCTGGGACTGATATCAGCAGCTGTCCAGGCCATAGTGTGGGCACAATTTCACTCGAAACCTGCAGTTCTTCCTTCTGTCCTGCGGGGACATGATTATGGAATCCCTGGACAAAAATCTGGTCCTCACTCCACAGGTAAAATCCTCACTAGAATGGTGAATAACCCCCAGCAATCTCCAGGGAGGCAGATTGCCCTGGGCACAGTGAGGACCCCTAAAAGTGGTCACAGATGCAAGCTTCTGGGGGAAGCCAAAGCCCAAGGTCCTTGAAACAGGGCGATTTGCCAGTCTTCCCAGGGAGCTCAGAGCGCTAGGCAAAGCCCTGAAGGCTTTCAAGAACAATATCTTGGGCAGGGAGGTTCAAATTCGCTCTGACAATGCCACCACGGTGGCCTACCTGAACAGTCAGGGTGGAATCAAATCTAGACATCTTCTGGACCTATCCAGGGAAATCCTGAGTTGGGCTGAAGGGAAAGTTCTTTCCCTAGCAGCGGTTCATATAAAAGGGACAAGCAACCTGGAGGCAGACTTCCTTAGTCGCCAGCCGATAAGACGGGGATTGGGAGCTGAACCAGAAGGCCTTTCAGGCCTTGGTGTGACAGGTCAGCAGGCCAAAAATAGACCTTTTTGCCAATGGCAAGAACAGAGCAGTAAGGAGTTTCTTTTCAATGTCCTGAGAGAGCGTCAAGGCGGCCTAGATGCTTTGTCGCAGATCTGGCTGTTCAAGCTGGCATATGCCTCCCCCCCCCCCCCCCCCCGTTAATCCCATTGGTCCTCCAGAAGCTCAGACAGTCGTTGGGCCAGCTCCTCCTAATTGCGCATTGGTGGCCAAGGAGGGCGTGGTTCGCGACCCTAAAAATTCTCTCCGTTTTTGATGTTAAAAATGAGCTTTTTTGGTTGGCTATCACCACAGCTAGAAGGGTTTGAGACCTACAAAATTTGTCGGCCAAAGAACCCTTTTTGTTGATCTTGCCAGATAGGGTCACCCTTAGGGCAGATCCAATGTGCCTGCCCAAGGTAGCTTCCTTATCTAATAAAACACAGGAATTAACTTTGCCTTCCTTCTGTGATAATCCTAGGAATGCAAAAGAGAACTTCCACCATCTTGAAGTGCTTAGATGTCTCCTCACTTATTTGCATAGGGCCAAAGATTTTAGGAGGTCCGGCCATCTGTTAATTTCTTATGCTAGACCAAGGAAGGGGCTTCAAACATCTAAGACTTCGGTCTCCAGGTGGATCAGACAAGTTATGGCCTTATGGCTGAGAGTTCCGGAATCCCTGCACCAGCAAAAGTAAAAAGCTCATTCAACCAGGGCTATGGCCACATCCTGGGCAGAAAGAGCGGAGGCCTCCTAGGAACAGATTTGCAGTGCAGCCACCTGGTCCAGTCAAGACACCTTGAAACATTACTGTATTGAAGTACTGTCACAGCAAGACTTGGCCTTCACCCGGAATATGCTACAGGCTGTGGTCCCACATTAAGGTAGGCCTGCGGTTACTTGATTATCCTCTCAGGTGTGCCGTCCTGGAAGGTGATTGGAGGAAACCAACCGTTGGACTTACCGGTAACGGCATTTCTACGAACCTTCCAGGATGGCAGGCCTACTTCCCACCCTAGTAAAGGAAATCCCTAAAAGTAGTAATCGGTGAGTGTCTCTGTATAGTGATTCCTCTTGTGGACCGGTTTCAGTAGTTACTTCATTACAAACTGGATGGCAAGGGGAAGGGAGGAGACTTATAACAGTTGTAAATTGGTTGTATTTCCTGTAGGGAGGAGCCCCTCAGGTGTGCTGTCCTGGAAGATTCGTAGAAATGCTGTTACCAGTAAGTCTAATGGGGTTACCAGTAAGTCTAAAATGTGCATTTATTATTTTTGGTTGCAGGAGCCTGGAAACCAATGCACCAGGAATCAGTAGATCACTGGTGCCATGCAGATCTCCTGCAGATCTGTCAGCAGATCTGCTTGCCCGTACGGGATATACTGACATGAAGAATCAGTTAATTGAGGACTACAAGCTGACAGCCGCTAAGGCTGTTGGGACTTGTAGTTTCTTATTCACAGAGGACTGTGACTGAGTGATGTGACCTGGTGGGCAGAGCCCCACATGGCCATGGTTTTTTTTTCCCTAATTTGACCGCTACTGTGGGGAGAGAAAGGTCCCCTGCTAGCTGTCAAAGTGTGGGGAAGCGGGGGCCCGGTGTATTCATAACATGTTACACCCTGAATATGGGTGTACCATGTTATGAAAGGTGAGCTTTTCCTTTAAAGTGGTTGTAAACCTCAGATGAAATATGAACAAAGCATATCCCTCTATAGTGTGTGCTTGTCTTAGCTCAAAGCACTGTAATTTCTGACTGCTGTGTCCTTCCCCTGCTATAAGCATGAGTCACTTTCTGATGAATTTTCTTAACACCAAGAGAAAAAAAGGTTACAGGGGATGGAGCAGATCGACAGCCTCAGCTCTGTTCTGGTGAGCTTTGTGGGGGGGGGGGTCCTGTCCCTCCAATAAGTTCTCAGAGCTCTCCTCACTGATGTAACTTCAGCTCTCTGCCCCCTGCTTTTCAGAGCTGAAAGATCCCATGTACATTCTGCGCTTTGAATGGATGTAGGGGAAAGATGCTATAGATAAACAGGTACAACTTGTGTAGAAGCATTTACAACCACTTTAACGCTTATTTAAAAAAAGCATTTGTCAAATGTATAGAAGTCTGTTCCTACAGTGTAATATCTGGCTTCCTATATATTTTGCAGTTTACTTTGCTGGTGAGGGATGGATTACCATTTAGACACTTTTTATGGAACTAATTTTAGTATTCAGTAGATACTCTCCAGGGGCTGCAAAACAAGATAGGTTCGCCATGATTGTATGTTGTTGAGCTTTGAAACTTGACTCCAAACAATATGTTCATGATCACTTTCTTTTCTGAAAGGAAGCTGTGGCAAATCTTTTTGAAAGAGTAGACAAAAAAATAATTTAATAAAGTAAGAATGCATCGCTCACATGGCTGTGGGGCTGCACAGCGGTGTGATCTGTCAGCGGCTGTGTTACAACCGATGACATATTGCTGCACCAGCCCGCTACCAGTGTCATGTGAACTTTATGACCAATTACATCAGATCATATGACAATTGTATACAATAGATGGCTTCCTTTCATGCAATCCATTATATACAATTATGTTGTTAGCTGTGAATGGTCACAACAGTCACATGATATTCAGGGCCAATCACAGCCCATCTGGATCGTGTCATAAGTTTTGTCCAGTCACAGCTAATCACAACAAAAGACTGAATTGGTTTTATTCAGTAAAAATGGTTGCCAATATCAATGACGTACATTGGTATGAGCAATCGTAAATTAAAAAAAAAAAATCTTGATCACTTGCCCAGAGTAATACAATGTTACTATGGTGATATTGTATTGCTGTGGACACAGTGTGTTGGAAAAAAGTAATATAAAAAAAGAATTTTCTTTTTTCTTTTTTTTTTTTTACATACTGTCAACAGTCAGTGTCTCTTGATCACCACCACACCAGTTATATGATAACACTGCACTGGCCTGGTGACCATATGTTAAAAGTTAAAAAAAAAAAAAAAAAAAAAGTTTTTCCAAAAATATTCACAAAACATTACAACTTGGGAAAACACGGCATGCCTCTTACTAGATACCTTGGACTGTCCATTTTCCAAAAATGGGTCATTTGAGGGGTATTTTGTACTATCCTGACGTTTTGCGGGCCTTAAGAAATGAGATTGGCCATCAGTACACCAGGACTGATTGATTTTTTGATATATATATATATATATATATATAGACTCTATAATTTCCTACAGACTAAATTAATATACCGTATTTGCCGGCGTATAAGACGACCCCCAACATTTCCACTCAAAATATAGAGTTTGTTATATACTCGCCGTATAAGACTACCCCCTCTTTCTTTTTGCTGGTGCCATGATAGGGTTGATAGGGGTTTGACTGCTGGACATTTTCTATGCTGTATTGTACTGTACAATGGTGCAGTACTGTGGTTGGCTGTATACAAAGCCTGATTGGATTGGTCCCTGCTCCCTGTCTGCCCTCTCTGTCTCCATGTCACTACCATGTCCCTGCATCTCCCTGTAATTGGCACTAGTGCGCAAGTCCGCATGTGCGAGCTCTGCGTAGACAAGGGGCGGCCGGAGCGCCGCTGCTTCCCGCCGAGCAGAACGGGCCGGTCACGCCGAAAAGGTTGGCACCCCTGTATTGCTGCTGATGCTCGCCGCAGCCACGCTGATGACCCGCCGCGGCTAGTATGTAGAATGAGGTGGGCGGGGGGCGGGCATCGGGAGGCCACTATGGGCACCGGGCGAGTATTGGAAGGCCACTATGGCAGCTATGTCTATCCCAACTGAAGTGCACCCGGCGTATAAGACGACCCCCCCACTTGGAGGCATGTTTTTCAGGGCAAAAAAGTCGTCTTATATGCCGGCAAATACGGTACACTAATTTTGGTTTATTTTTTTTTTCTTTTAAAGGTTTCGTGTTTTTTTTTTTTTTTTTAGCAAAAAATAAAAAAAAAACTCAGTGGTGAATAAATACCACCAAAGGAAAGCTCTATTTGTGTGAAAAAATTATAAAAATGTGGTATGCGTACAGTTTTGCATGACCGTGCATTTGTCATTCAGAATGCGACAATGCTGAATGCCTGGTATTGAAGTGGTAAGGCAATAAAAACCTGACACAAATTTTTACATTTCCTCATTTTAAAGAAAAGAAACAGCTGCAGTTAGGCTTTAAATATTAGTGGACTGTCGCCCAACCATTTCTACTTTTCTGTAATTGCTGATGAAGAGCTACCATTTCATGTCATTTTCTAGGTTTAAGTATGCCTTCATGAAAATATTTGCTTACTTTTCAGACGGTCTGCTGCTTGGAGGACAACCAGTGAAGAGAAGAAAGCTCTGGACCAGGCCAGTGAGGAAATATGGCTTGATTTTAGACAAGCTGCTGAAGCTCATAGACAAGTAAGGAAGTATGTTATGAGCTGGATAAAGCCAGGAATGACCATGATTGAAATCTGGTAAGCTTTTAGTTCGGCATGTTGGTGAAGGATCTCTTGACGTTTAATTATAGATATCAGAAAATAATCCCTTTAGTTATTGTCCTTTTTGTCTGCCTCTTCAAATTTTGTAGGCATTGTATACACACTGAACATCTGTGTACAATACGCTAATACATAACTTTGCAAAAAAGGCCTTTTCACATTGTAATGCTGCAATTAAAAAAAACTTTCTGATTGGTAGAAATGTTGCTAATTTTTTTTTTTTATTCAATGTTTTCAGTGAGAAACTAGAGGACTGTTCTCGCAAGCTTATTAAAGAAAATGGCCTGTATGCTGGGCTTGCTTTTCCTACAGGCTGTTCCTTGAATAACTGTGCAGCCCACTACACTCCTAATGCTGGGGATCCCACAGTGTTACAGTATGATGATGTTTGCAAAATTGATTTCGGAACACACATCAATGGTAAGGTGCCGTGATTCATATTTGTATGCAATATTTGCACAGTAATTAAGAGGCCCATCGTAACTAAATGTTTCTTCTTGGCTTTTTTTTTTTATCTCAGGACGTATAATTGACTGTGCTTTCACAGTCACATTCAATTCAAAGTATGACAAGTTGCTGGAAGCTGTCAAAGATGCGACAAACACTGGAGTACGGGTATGTTTCATAAAGACCTTTTTGAATTTTCATCTCAAGGATGTTGAATCAGTTCTGAATTTTGATTTGCCACCTTCAGTGTTCCGGTATTGATGTCCGCCTTTGCGATGTTGGTGAAGCAATCCAGGAAGTTATGGAATCATATGAGGTTGAAATTGATGGCAAAACATATCAAGGTATGCATGTAACACTGACATAAATTAGGTTGCCGCTTACCTTTTCTGATTATGTACAGTGGGTAACGTAGTCATAATAACCGTGTACCATAGACAATAGCAGAGAATTCCGTAAAAGGAAAAGTATGGCCAAAGATTTTTTTGGCCATAATTCTCTTTTGGGACACACGGGGTCACACTTACTTTTGCTCTCCAGTGACCCAGAATCAGTTGACTGCATGCTATAGCTCACTGTCCTCTGATGTGGTGGGCCGCTTCTTTCTCTAGGTAGATCCCAACCTTATTGCAAGGGACCATCCAACTGCCTGACAGCTAGTTCTGGCTCTCAGTGCATAGCTGGGAGCTGTAGCCAGCTGCACCCAACGCCTCTCCTGCCTGGTGCTCCAGTGAGCGCTGCAGGATTGGAGTGGAAAGCGGTGACTGGCAGCCGCTGCTCTTTACTCCGAGTAGACTGAGAACTTGAGCAGTCAGCGGTCATGTGATCACTCAGTTCTTGGTCTTATAGCCAACGTAGGACAGCTGCAGCTTCGCACTGATGCTCCAGCATAGAGGTGAGTATATATATTTTTTCTTGAAACCCCAAACGTCTTCAAGATCATCTGCAATTCCTCTTGCATTTTAAAAATAGAGATTGTGTTGCCTATATAGAGGTGAACTTTGATAAAGGAGTCAATTGGGTACAAGTGTGGATCATCAACAGAGAAAATACGAACTAGAACGCAAAAGGAGAGAGGGGGGGGGGGGGGGGGGGAACTTTTTGCATGAAGTGGGGGAGAAGGAAGGGTAGGATTAGAGGATTAAGGTAGAAGCGTAGTAGTTGGAGAGGGAAGGCTTCGAAATCCCCTACATTTTATTTTCCAAACTGGTATGTCATAAGGAATGTAGGCCATCAGATGATGATGCATGGATTCCAAACAGTTATGAATTTATGTGGGTGTCTACTGAATTTTTTATTGATAAAGACCAGGTTAGTGCGCTGGTTAACTTCAGTAGATTGATTGCCATTAGTTCAAAGGTGGCCAATTTGAACTGGATTTTAGTGAGGGAGGTTTTAAGTGAAGGAGCAAGTGACTTGGGTACATGTTAATGAAGCATTTCAAGCATGTTATTTTTACATAGTAACACTGGACCAGATTGGACCAGTTTAACTCTGTATATGCTATATATCTGAACAAAAGAGAAAACACCGCTCCCAGGTTTGCCAAGCACGGTAAAATAAAAGAAATGGCAGCAGAGGAGCAGGATAAGCCTGCTGATTTGTGCTTACTCATAGCAGTTTCCATTGGCTTGGACCAATGTAACTCTGTATATAACATACCTGGCTGATGCCCCTAGAAGTTGGAAATCGCTGAAGTAGGCACCGACTCTCCAGTGACCTCCTACTTGTTCACTTGCTTCTGGGTCCTGTGCTGAGCGGCCGGGCCTGATGCATTCTAAATACAAGTAACTGGCCGCTCAGAATGGGTGACATTTGGAGAATGCTTTGCATTTGGACGAGGTGGAGAGAAAGATGTCACTGTCCTGACTCTACACCTTGTCCAATCAGAGAATCTTTGCTTTTATTGAGGAAATTAATGGTGTCTGTACTGAGCTGCCGACCTCTTGTATTCAGAACACATCAGGCCTGGGATCTGGAAGCAATTGGGGTTCATTGGAGTAGCGTTGTCTTTCTCAGTTATATCCAGCTTCCAGGGGGATAGGTGAGGTACGGTATATGCATAGATACAATGGTCCAGGCTGGACCAGTCCAGAATCTATTTAGCATAGAGCAGAACCATCAGATGTGTACAAGCTCAAAATCTGCTACATTTTATCTTTTGCTTTTAGATCTTTCTTGCTAGTGTAAACCTGAGAGAATAAAAAAATAGTGCTACAGTATATGCAGATATGTCCATTTATTTTTAGGAGGTACTGGATATTCTTTACAATCTATGACTATTATTTTCTACTTGGTCACTTTTTGGGGTTATTTATTAACTAGAATAAATCTGTATTGTTGCTAATTGATTCAAAACTCCCTCTACCCAGCTTTGCTAGTTCCATTAATATTTTTTTTTTTATACCTGAACACTTATTACCTTTTTTTTTGTTTTATATTTAACACTTTTAGTACTTTTTATTCGTACTTGCAATTGCATGACGCTATAATGTGTTATTTCTTCTGTTTGACATTTAATCCACATATATTTGCTAAAGTATAATTTGAAGTGTAGGAGGCAGTGTTCTCTAGCCCAATATAGACCCTGGAGAATAAAGTAGTGGATGTTTAAATTTTTTATGTCACGGTATTTGCGCAGTGGTTTTTCAAACAGATTTTTTTAGAAAAATGCATGTTAATAATTTGTGGTAAACACAATATATTACCCAATTTTGGGGGGGGGGGGGGGGGGGGGGGGGATATAAAAGATGTCAATCCAAGTAAATACCCAACATGTCACGCTTTAAAATTGCAAATACCTGTGAAACAGCGTCAAACTAGGGTATTTTAATAGCCTTTACAGGTTCCCAGTTTAGCGTTGCACAGGAGGTGCTAGAATTATTGCTCTTACTCTGACATTCACAGTGATGTCTCACACGTGTGGTGCGATTACCGTTTACATATGTGTGGGAGACCTACATGTGCGTTCACATTTGCACAGGGGGTCAGGGGTGCTTAAAAATACAGTAAAATAAATTAAACAATTTTTAAACACTGTGCCTTTTTTCATATATTTTTTTGGATCAAATTCATTGCCATCACAAGGGATGACCAACATCCCTTGTGATAGCATGGCCGTGACAGATCCTGTTTATGGGGAGATCTGATGTGTTTTAGACCCCAGACTTCCTCATTTAGCCAGTCAGCAGTGGGCACCTCTCCCGGCAGGCAACACATGGGGTAACGAGGGGCTCTTCTGTAGGACTGCAGGCTCCAGCAAAAAAATGTTTTGCCTGTCTGCACACACTGCAGAGATGAGGGAGGAGGGGAGTTCTGAGCACACCGCCGAGAGAGAAGACATTCTTCACCTGGTGGGCTGAGCAAAGCTGATGAAGGAAGAATTGAAGTTCTTCTGGAAGGCATTCCTGCATACCCACACTCTCTTGGTGATACATCCAGACTGTTACTCCCTCCATGCACGGCAGACTCCACAGGTGAAGATTCAGCTCCTTCACACACACTGACAGCCACCCTAGTTTTGTTTACAATTCCGTTGTCAGCACGGGACAGCTGAATAACTCATTGGTTGTTAAGGACAGGGTGGCCTGTTCCTTAACCCCTTGGGGCCAAACTCATGCAAATTAGCGGCTCCACTGGACTGGGCTTTTTTCCGTGGGGCCGCTAATTTGCGTACCTGTCTTTGTTCTTGGAACGCTCCCAGCACAAAGAGCGGGTTGTCAGTGAGCGCCCCAGGTCTGGTTGTAAAGTTTGGGACCCGGAACTCCCGATTCCGGGTCACATGACCTGTGTGAAAGCCTCTAAATTGGATATCAGTGATCAGTCACTGCGAAGCCTGCTCCCTTTGTTTTCTCTCTGAATGGAGGAGAGAGATGCATTGTATCTCTGTCCTTTTCAGAGAAAAAGTGTTTTACAAAAAATAAAATATAAAATAATATAATAAAAAAATACCTAGATCAAGGTTTGATCTAGGTCCTTGCCAGGGTTAGTGTTTGGGTCAGGGTCAGTATTTTTTTTGGCCAGGATATGTTTAGTTTAGTATCCGTATCCGTTTTTAGATTTAGCATCAGTGTCAGTTGCAAGATTTAAAAAAAAAAAAAAAAAAAAGCAAAAAAAAAAGCAAAATGTGCAATATTGTTTCTGGACCCGTACTATGGGTACTAACATACCTAACATACATATGTGGTATCGCTGTGATTGTCAGGAGCAGGAGAGATGATTTTGGGTTGTTCTTTGGTGGTTGGTTATGGTAGTAGCAAGAAATATATAAATACATTTAAAAAAACACATTTATTTTATTTTTAGCACACGAATTTGCTTTAACTTAGGTGTTGACATACTTTTACTATTTTGAATCAGTTTTTCTTTTGATAAAAAAAAAAACATTCAGGATATCTGTTACCATTTACCACCAAATGAAAGCCCAATTTTTCCTGAAAAAAAAAAAAACAAGGTAAAACCCACGTGAATGCACAAAAAGTAGTTGTGATATGTACAGTTTTGCTAACACATATCAAAGTTGCAAAATTGTGCTTCGGCGTTAAGATTTGCTTTACCCTTAGGTGTTGACAACTGATAATTGCAGGCATTCTTTTGTTTATATTTCAACTGTCAGCAGGGGAGTCCCGCTGACAGCTGAAAGAACCAAACCTGAAGGTATCGGTTTCAGGTATTGGTGCATTTGCATGAGTACTGATATCCGTACTCAGTACTCAGATTTGCACAAGTATCGTTGCAACCCTAGTTTTTGTTGTTATGAAGAATGTTTTAACCATTGCCGGCCAGTCACATACCTGGTACATCACCGGTTTTCAAGTGAATGTGCTAGGATGATGTTTAGGGTCGACAGTAAGCTTTTTTGTAATAGCAATCAAAGCTGCTCGACTGCTATTACAAGCAGCGGGAGGGGACATCAACCCTCCCTCCTGCTCCTGCCTTCCACAGCTTTAACAGGAGCTACCATCCCACCAGGATTGCCTATCGAACAGCCAGCTTTGTTCTGTTCCATTAAATAGTAAATCGTCAGATCATGGGCAGTAATTCTAGCACCAGACCTCTGGAAATCTAACGTGGTAACCTATGGAGGCTTTTAACGCTTCGCCTATGGATAATATTTACATCGTCTGTCGCCGTTCCACAGGCGTGCACAATTTTACAGTGTGACCTGTTTGGTATCTGTTTACGCGATGTAACATCAGTGTGTGTGTGTGTGTGTGTATATATATATATATATATATATATATATATATATATATATATATATATATATATATAATAAAATGTGTGTGTGTACGTAGCGTCTTTATAAATACAACCAAACTCTATAGGCTGTATTGCCAAGTTGTAGGGAGTGGCCACTGTCCTCACTCCAGATTGCTGCAGGAGTGGGAGTGAGGGAGTACACAGGGCAGGGTACATTATACTTTGTTGATGGTGAGGTGACCTGTAAGTGGGGGTGGGTAAGTAAGTGGGAATGAGGGCGTGGACAGGGCAGAGAACTGGATGGTCTGGGGAGGCTGTTATTTTACATAGTGCTAAGCACTGCTACCTTGCTGGGAGGGGAAACACAAACCACGTCACAGAAGTTCCTCATCTGTGGTTTGCAGGGCATTGTTCCATTACCTCCCAGGCAACTGACAGAGGGTGACTGCATCTCTCAGCGAGTTCAGCTTGCCGATCGAGTACTAGAGATTTTAGTTGACTAAAATATAACTAAAATAATTCACATTACTTAAAATATAACTAAAATTAAAATGGCACTTTAGTCAAAGGCTTAGGACTAAAACTAAATTGAAATTTGATGTAAAAATTAACAGTGGTCTGAATACTGTAGGGTGCTTGTTAATAAACCATCATTGATTCTTCTATTTATATCTATCTATTCATATTAAAGCATGAGAGTTATAGAAGGTTTTATTTCAGGTAAATAATCTTATTACTGGAAGAAGATTAAATGGTAATCTTGCCATCAACAACACACTCCTGTCCTAAACTTCCAGCGGTACTGAGCAGTGATGTCACCTTAGGATAAAGAGTACATGACAGTGGAACATGTATTCCACATAAGCAGGAAACTGTGCCATTTATACATTTTATATACAGTCCAGAGGCAGAGAACACAAAGTTATCAGCTCACAGAATTATGGTTAGTTTATATACACTTTAAGCTTTGGAAAATGTCTTTTCTATAAGCCAAATTTCTATACTTTGTAAGGGTTTCTTGTATATGCCTTTTATCTGGAATTAGTTTTTTTTTTTTTATTTGTCCTTCCTGTAGGGCAACACTAGCCCTTAGGGCTTGTTTACCTTTGTGTTGTCTGTGAAAAGCAATCCATGGTGGATCTCTTGCACGGTGCTGCAACTGGGCAGCAGACGTGCAGGGGGCCATACTGCCGCCCCTTGAATGCCTGGTTTATATGACCGCTGAATGGATTTTTTCCTATGAAAATACCACGTCATGAACATAATGTTTGCTGTGTGGCCCCATTCACTTGTATAGCTTATGTTTGGCACCAATAATGTTCACCGAACGTGATTTGGGTGAGGGGAATCATTTTTGCTGCACTGTGCACAAAATATGTATACCTCTGTACTGCTGCTTTTTTTTTTTTTTTCTGTCTCACAGTTTGGATAATGTGTGTATTTGTTATGTCTCTTAACTTTTTGTAACTTGACTTTTTTTCTTTTTATTAAGTGAAACCCATTCGAAATCTGAATGGTCATTCTATTGGCCCTTATAGAATACATGGTGGAAAAACTGTGCCCATTGTGAAAGGTGGTGAAGCAACACGAATGGAGGTACATTTTTGCAGTTGATGGCACTTTTTATCTTTTCTCATTAAAATATTCTGAAAAGAAAATGACAAAAATTATTTTTTCAGGAGGGTGAAGTGTATGCAATAGAGACTTTCGGTAGCACTGGGAAGGGAGTGGTTCACGACGACATGGAATGTTCTCACTACATGAAAAACTTTGATGTCGGGCATGTGCCAATTAGGTAGGAGTCTCTTCCGAATTTTGATGTGTTTAAATAAAAATACTGTTGTGCAGCAATGCTAAAGGTTTTTTTTATTTTAGTATCTTTACATCTTTGTAGTCTTCCAAATCTTTCTGACCAGTGTTCAGTGTTTATTAAATGAAATGCGATGAACAAAGCTTTTATTTTATGTGGGGAAAAAAAGAATGGCTACAAGGATGCTACCTTTCTGCTAACAATGAACACAAATATTCTGGTGTATGTGTGCCCTTCCTGAGATCAAACGCTTAGGATGTATTGCTTTTTCCCACTGCCATTTTTTCTTTTTATACAGCATAGGCAAAAAGTGGGAAGCTTTCTTCTTTCCCCCATTACAATTACACATACATCCCCCTCCCCCAGAGCCCACAGCCTGTTTTGGTGCTTATATCTAAATGCTGGTATTGCCTGCGCAGTGAGCCCTCACACTCATAAGGAAGACTGTGGAATGCTGAAGGGTTAGTATCTCTCAAGTTAGATGGAATCACAAGGGGCGCTGTAGAGCACCATGCTAGTTCATGCAAGCTTCCTGTCAGAATATCTGCTTGGCTGTACATCAAGTACGGCTAGCAGATATTCTGACAGGTCTGCAGGAGACCTGCAAGGCATCAGCAATCTACTGATCGCTGCTCTAATGCTTTCCAGGCTCCTTTGGACAAAAATAATAAAATGCACATTTTTTTACCTGCAAAAAATGTGCATTTATTATTTTTGTCCAAAAGGTGAACTTATCCTTTAATGTTGTAGACTTGTGGAGGGTGCGCTGAAAAGAAAGAGGGCAGTAAAACCTAGGGTTTCCAGTGAGGGGAACATACTACCTCCTATGCAGAAGCTGTATCACTCTAGATACCTCCACTGGCTGTGGTTTTGATCTGATGGTTTGCTGGATGTAAGATACATTCTAAATGAAGTTTATTTGAAAAAGGAAAGGCAGAGATGCACTGCTCACTTTCACTGTCTATAACACATCTAAGCAGCTAGCATTGATAATTACGGAATTACCTGTGTCTCGTTAAAGGCTGAATTCACCTTTTTAACCACCTCCCACCCGCCATATAGTAAAAAGACGGACGCAGGGTGGTTCTCACATTCTGGGAGAACGTCATATGATGTCCTCCCATTCTCATCACGCATGCGTGGCTCAGGGAGTGGGAGTGCGCGGTGATCAGCGGTGCGCTGTGTCTCTCGGACACAGCAGATCACCGATCACGGAAAGAGCTGAAGATGTCGGCTCGGTCATGTGGTCAGCTGTGTCCAATCACAGCTGATCACATGTAAACAGGGAAATGCCGGTTATTGGCATTTCTCTCCTCTCGAGCTCTCACGCTGACCGCTCGAGAGGAGAGCCGGTAATCGGCTTTCCACGGAGGGGACATGTACACTGATCATGATGATCAGTGTGCCCTGATGATCAGTGTAGCCCCAGCAGTGCCACCTGTCAGTGTCCATCACTACCTCGTGCCAGTGCCCATCAGTGCCACATATCAGTTCCTACCAGTGCACATCAATGCCACATATCAGTGCCCATCTGAGCTGCCACTGTCACCCATCAGTGCCAGTCAGTGCCACCTATCAGTGCCCGTCAGTGCCGCCTATCAGTACCATATATCAATGTGCCTTTCAGTGCCCATCAGTAATGCCTGTCAGTGCCTCCTCATCAGTGCCACCTATCAGTGTCCATCAGTGCAGCCTCATTAGCGCACTTCAGTGAAGGAGAAAAAAATCACTTATTTACAAGATTTTATAACAAAAACTAAGAAAAAACATTTTTTTTTCTCAAAATATTCAGTGGTTTTTGGCTTAACAAAAAATAAAAAACCCAGAGGTGATTAAATACCACCGCAATAAAGCTCTCTGTCGCAAAAAAAGATAAAAATTTTGTATGGGTACAGTGTTGCATGACCGCAATTGTCATTCAAAGTGCAACAGCGCTGAATGCTGGAAATTGGCCTGGGCAGGAAGGAAATATAAGTGCCCTGTAGGTTTGTGGTTAAAGCCGAATTTTCATAATAGAAGCCTTTTCTAATGTCATTTCTGCCCAAGCCATCCTAATGTGCTGATCTCTCACTTATCTAGTCAATGGCTGCCTTGAATCTGTACTCTTTTCAAAATTAAAAAAAAAAAAAAATACATTCTGAACCAGACTTCCTGTAGCATCATGTGACCAACTAAGAAACTTCATATCCAATCATGTGCTGCTTTACTGCAGAATAGGGCATGAGTTACCTCTCTGGACCACATTTCAGAAAGCACTGGGTTGAACGAAGGTAGTAGAGAGATGGACGGGAGCAATATTCTAGAGGGGGAGGGCAGGAGCATGGTGTGTTAATTAGGTCAACTGCTGAAGAGTTTCCTCGACCCACTAAGGACTCTGATATCCTGCAGGAAGGATACCAGGAAGTTGTGCAGGACTTTTATATAGAAGAAAGCTGAGGTGGGAGCCTGCTTCAGAACATAGGGACAACTTTTTCTTTTCTGCAACAGAGGTACTATACATTAATGGTATATTGGTACATTGGGAAGCTAAAATTTAGAAGAAATAAAAGAAGTGACATTTAAGCTCATAGGTTGAGATTTATTATCCAACTGTAGTGCTAAACTTCATTCCAACTGATATTTCAGTGTTGCTTTTTTTTTTTTTTTTTTTACTTGTGTTTTTTCCCCCCTTTTTCAGACTTCCAAGAGCTAAACACTTGTTAAATGTCATCAATGAGAACTTCGGCACTCTTGCTTTTTGTCGCCGATGGCTGGATCGACTTGGAGAGAGCAAGTATCTGATGGCACTTAAGAACCTGTGTGATTTGGGTATAGTGGACCCCTACCCACCCCTCTGTGATATCAAAGGCTCCTATACAGCACAGTTTGAACATACCATTCTATTGCGCCCAACCTGCAAGGAAGTTGTGAGCCGAGGAGATGACTATTAAAGCTGATGTTGAATTTGCTGCTGCCTGTCTCTAAATATGGCTTCTGTGGGAGCATATTGTAAGAATAATTGGGAGAAGTGATTTCCTAATGTCCGCACATCAAATTGGAATAAATGTGGATTAAAGGCATAGCTTTACTAACATTGGGCAAGGCTAACTTTCAGACCTTTTAAAACAGAGTATTTCTTCAGCTCGCTGGTTCAGGGGAATGCTAATTATGCTAAATTTCATGTTTAAAATATTTTGCATATGAGATGCTTTCGAAGTATTTATATTCAAATATATTAGCACAAGTTTCTTGAACTAGTTTCTGCAGATGCTAGCATTGCATTTTAACTCCTTGGAAACGTGGGGGTTTTTTTTTTTTGTTTTTTTTAAAGCGAAAAAAAAAAAAGATAAACCAATAAATTTGACTTTTTGAATCCAAAATCCTCTGTTTACAAGGGAGTTGAAGTCTCCTTTGCTGAATGGCTGTGTGTAGGTTTTCCAGATTCTCATTTAGGTCTAAAACTGTATTCACACTCAAGTGATTTGTAGCATGAAGCTTCAAAAACGCTCCAAAAATCAATTGTTCTGTATGGTGCCTGTTCACATGATCAAGTGTGAACAGGCACCATAGAGGACAATTGATTTTTTAAGTTTGACCTTTTTTTGAGCTTCAAGCTACAAGTCGCTCAAGTGTGAGCACAGATTAACTCAGGCAGTTACTGTGTGAATCAGGAATCTATCAAATGCAAATGTTATTGACTAATGGGTTTTCAACATTCTTTGATCTAGTGACATATGCATCATCATGTGTTCAGATCAAGTGGGTGTAACAAAATGTACTTGTTCAGATGTTTATAAAAGAAAAGTTTATTCGTTTTTGGACTTATTTTCATGACCATTTTAGACTGTTCTCTAAGTTTAAATATAATTCCTGAAAATATTTTAAAGGCTATTATTTTAGGGATATATTTAATGTTTTCAAGGTGTAAAGTTTTACAAGGTGGATATAAGGATAAGCTGTTATGTAACTTGTATATGTTAAATGCATTGTATAAATACTTAACCTAATTATACCTTACCATGAGGATGACTGACAAAAACATTACTTTGGACAGTCTATGCAGTGCCAGTAGACTGTAAGGGAGACCTGTACTGAGAAAAATAGGCAGGCTGCCACTTCAGAGTGGGCTTTATTTTTTCCAGATGAGGGATGTAGAATATATGAAGACATGGGAGCATCATGATTGCAACGAGCATGTGTGTGTATATATTGCTTTAAAATTTTATACCAAGCTGCTAATAACTATAAGAATAAGGAAAAACAACCTTTCAGAATAAACAAATTCTGTACTTGCTGTAAAATCTTTTTGTTGGCCCTCATCAAAAGACACAAAGTCTTGATGGTCAGGCTGTCAGGTTATACTTCCACCCACAGGTGGATTGTATACTGGCAGTCGTATGTCAGACCAAGATAACCCCCACTCCCACTATGCCTCCAATTTGTAGCAAAGCTTAACCAATAGCACAGGGGTAGGCAATCTTAAAGAGGTGGAGATCTACCTGAACAAGCATGGGAGAAGTCAAAGGTCACCGGGCACAGTGTCACCTCCTCACACCTGATTGAAACCACTAATTGGCGAACTACTGTGTCACAATCACGTGCATTGCAGGGCAATCATGGGTTTAAATCAAGTGGAGAGGAGGCAACATATCGCCTCCTCACCACTGGTCAAACACACTTGGATTGCTTTTCTTCTTTTTCAATCTTTATTTTTACAAAAATCAATACAGACTTTGATCGCTTTTCAGAGGAGCAGCAGTCCCATCTGCACTTGTGAATGATCCCTTAGTTGCATCCGGCAGCGGCACTCTTAGGACTCGTTCTCATGTAAAGTTGGGGGTGGTAAAACCCTGTGGTTGAGTACTGGTTTTACCACCCACAATCCCTACCCTCTTTAGCTGCTGAGGGAGCAGCCAAAGGTGTAAACATGCTGCTGCAGTAATTACACTCCCTGTTGTATTTGGTGAGTGCTACAGCCTGTCAGTTGAGACCCATTCAAGTAAATGGTTGCAGGGCACTTGCAGAGTGGCCTCATTCACTTGAATGGGTCATGTTTGGCAGGTGCTACACCCACCAACCATGACAGGTCGTAGTAACCAGCACTACAGAGGAGACATCGGCTTATGCAGCTCTTGTTCCCTACTACAGCTCCAACTTTATAAGTAGTCTCTCTGCACTCTGATGCTCTGGGATGGCAGGTCAGCAAGTCCAGACAGTGATCTACCAGTAGATTGCGATCTAGTGATTGCTGACTCCTGCAATAGCATAATGATTCCCTCAATGGACTCAAGGATCTTACAGTGAGTACAAAACTCTTTATTTTCTTTATCGTTCATTGAGAGAAACGGGAAATCTGTACATTCAAGATGTCCAAAGACAATCCAACTGATGGCTGAGCACCAGCATCCAAAATGCTTATGGGCATAAACTTGGAACTACCTGTAGCTCGAAGAGCAGCACATAGGACCTTCTGTCCAAAGCTGGCAGCAGATGAAGCCTAAATATCCACCAGGTAAAACTTAGGGAATGTGTACAGAAGATCAGGTGGCAACCTTGCAACTCTGAGAGACAGTGGCCTCATGCCAAAGATTTCAAGAGGCACTTGTTGATCTATCTGAGTGTGCCTTGACAGAGGGGAGACCTGACTCTGAAAACAGTAAGCCTGACTGATAACCTGTCTGAGCTACTGAGAAATAGTGAAATGAGAAGCTTGTTTATGCTTATGGGGTCGGGAATGACAGAATGTTCTGAAGAAAGCAGTGATTGCACGATAAACGAACATGAGCTATGTCCAGGCAATGCAGAGAAATCTCCCAATAAATTGGAGCCAAACAAAGGGATGGATTAATGATGTCCTGGTTGAGGTGAAAGGTAGAAGGTTCTGGACCTCAACACTATCTTGTCCTTGGTTAAAGTGATATTTACCCACTGTATGCGTATATGTGGCCCTACTGGACTGGGTCTCTCTCTCGTTTAGCATTTAGACGTGTCAAATGTTTTTCTGCCAAAACGCTGCTGCTCCTGGATGCACTGGCAGTGTTTGGTTTTTTTACAGCTCCTAAAGGCCTCTGCCACTAAAAGCTTCTAAAAGTCTATGTATGCTTGGACACATAAGATAACATGGTGGGGCATTTGGAGGCTGTAAAAAAGACGAAAAAAAAAAAATGCTGATTGCCCCTAAAAGTGGCTGCAAAAATGCCCAGTGTGCATGAGGCCTAAGGTAGGAAGGGGTTAACACTTGTGGTGTGTTTTTTTTTTTTTTTTTTTTTTTTTTTAATTAATTTTTAACCACTTGATGCCAAATCATGTATTAGCTGCTGGGTGACTTTTACAGACAGCGGGAGGGGTTTCCTCCCAACCACCCTGTTTTTTTTTTGGGGGTGTTTTTTTTTTTCTTCAAGATATTTTTTGCGTTGGTGAAAAGTCTGGACTGAGACAGTTAAGCACCCAGACTCTTTTATAAATAAATAGAAATCAAGTGGTATCATGTGAACCACAATTAAAATGTGATCTTCTCATTCAAAAGTGAATAATAAAGTCCAACACATAAATAAGACTCTTCCCTCCTTTACATGATGTGTTGTAAAGTGCTGAGCAAACTGTTGACGCTATATAAATCCTGTATAATAATAATGTGTTAGCACACCTCCAGTGCTGCACACCAATGCTCAGAAACACATATGCCCCACATGTGAGGCATTTTTCAGGGGTGTTGAAATTTTTTTTAAAAACTACTTGTCCAGGGACTAAACTTGCGTTTCAATCTACTTGTCCCTCATGACAATGTACTTGTCCAGATAAAAAAAAAAACATTTAAATCTAAAGTGCTTTTAGGAATGTCTGGGGCTTTTAAAAACAAAAGGGGCTTTAGGGCGACTTAAAAGTTTATTTTTTTTTAACATTGTGCTGTTTATCTCCTCTTCCCCTCCCTGCGTGGCTCCAGCACCGCACCCGGGGTCTAGCAGGGAGCAGAGAGACCTTACACTGTAATGAGCACCAATTTGGTGCTCCTCAGGAAAGGGGAGAGTCAGGCTTGTCCTTTATCCCTTTCGCTGCCAGGGCCGTTTTTGCACAAGTTTAAAAATAATTTTAGGCCTGAAGATTACACAAAACTCCAAAACATGATATATTTACTGAAATCTGAGACCCTAGAAAATAAAATATTGGTAGTTTCAATTTTTTATGTCACACGATATTTCAGTAAAAAATACACTTACGTAATTTTAGGGCACATAAAAGCAATAAATTAACTTTTTTTTTGTAAAATATAAAAGATGAGGTTGCACCGAGTAAATAGATATCCAACACGTCAAACCTTAAAATTGCGTGCACCTGTGAAATGGCAACGAACTTCACTACCCTATATTTTCTATAGGTCGACACTTTTAAAGCCCCTCGGCCTTGCTTCACACTAATGCGGTACTGGAAACGCAGCAAATCTTGTGCGTTTCCCACACAGCATTGCAATCTGGTACGGGTATCAATGTTAAATTAAAGACACCCCAAATCAGATCACGAAATGCAGTGCGATTGCCAGAATTTGCATCACATGGGTGTGAACACCCATGCGATGCGAATCAGGTGCAGGGGAAATAAAGGGTCCTGCACCTTGGTGTGGATGCGAATGCGATTTGGTGTATGGCTCAAATCACACTGCACAGAGATCGCATGTGATTTGCACAGGAACCGCACCGCATTCCTGTGACAATCACATGTGATGTGCTGCACCACATTAGTGTGAACTAAGGCTTATAGGTCATCAATATACTGTTACGGAGGATGTGCTAGAATTATTGCTCTCATTCTGGCGGGTGTGGCAATATGTAACGTGTATCACAATTGACGTTTTCATGCATAGGCTCCACATTGTGTACTTTTATGTGCATATATGGAGGGGTGGGTGGGTGGGGCCTCAATTTTTTTTTTCCGAGGGGATGTTATATGCTTTAAA